CTTCCCATTACAATCAAAAGATCAACCTTTTCTCGGTCTTTAGGAAAATAATTATCAAACTCTGGAGGTAATTTTTCACCAAAAAAAACAATATCTGGCTTCATAACTGATGGAGATATAGATTTTTTTCTTAATTCAAATTCTGATTTATCATTTTCTAGATTACATTTGGGGCAATATGGCACTTTTTGATTTAAAATGTCATCTTTTATCTCACCACCATCAATCCTATAACCACAGGCTAAGCAGCTAGCTGTTGCAAAAGATCCTTTATTATTTTTACATAAAAAAAAATTTGATAAGAAAACTATTTTATTTTTAATTTTGATAAATAAACATTAATCTTGTAAATATTTATACCATGACATTGTAAAACATTTTTTATCCCTGCAGCTTGTTCCAAAGTGTCAATATTTTGTGAATAATTTCTTAAAAGTTTGCCTTTCTCTTCCAATAACTTTATAAAATAATGTGAAGGAGATGGCAAAAAATTACTTGGATAAATCTCCTATAAATATAATGATAATAATATTTTAAAAACAATCAAATCTTAAATAAAAACAGAAAATAATTTGAATAAATAAGAAACCTTAGCAAAAGAATAAAACACTTTTGGACAATCTTTGAAATAATTTATATCAAACATGTCTTGAGGATCTTCCAAATCAAACTCAGATAATCGAGAATAGATGCCGTTTTCAGATCGAAAGTCTGGAATGCCACATGAAACAGAAACCTGATGGATTCTTTATTATTAGTTGTCCTTGCTAAACATACATGATGAAAAAATAAAGCAATATACATACACATATATATGTATGTATTTTATTTATTAATTGGTATTAATAATAAATTAAGAAAACTTACCCCAGCACCTGTCAAAACCATGATATTTGATGATTCAGATAATAGCCTGATTACATCCTGTAAAGTATTAATATTTGGCAGTTTTTTTCTTTGTCGAAGGAATTTTGCTAAAATTTTGTGAAGAATTGAAAGCAATTCCTTTTCTGGAAGGTTCTTTATTCTTGCTGGCTATAATCCAAAGATATGTTATATATAGATATATATATAAAATCCAAAGTAAAATACACCCATAATATGAAATGTGTCAATTAGGTAATGATACTTCCAAATCCTAATTTAGGCAAATATTTTATAGACTGACCAGTCTGTAATCAAAGGCATAAAATAACTTATGAATTGTAATGTTTTTTTCGAATAAGAATTCTTGAATGAAATTTTGAGTTCCTTTTAAAAAAATAGTTTTTTTGAATATTAATTCAATTCAACCAATTAATAAATCGTTAGTATTAAATCTAATATAATATAAATATTAATGAAAACCTTTCTCTTGAGCTGCATCTCTATAATATTTACACTCTTCTTCACTCAAGGGTGTTTCACCTTATTTATTTGAAAAAAAAGGGAATGAAAATTCAAACTTTTGATTTTTTCATTGAAAACAAAATTATTTTAAAATATACTTAGTTTGTACTCGTCAGTTGACAGCCCTTGATCACTAATATCCCCAATCAGAGAAGTTTCATCACTACTTTCATTTAATTGAGGATCGTCATTCCAATCATCATCGTCATCGTCGTCGTCATCGTCGTCGTCGTCGTTATCGTTATCGTCATCATCAACATCATCGTTGTCGTTGCCGTCGTCATCATCAACATTGTTATGAACATCATCAATATCTTTAACACAAACACGTTTTTTTGGGGACAATATTGTGTATGAAGGTGAAGAGAAACGAGTAGAAAATTGAGGCTCTTGATCAGATTCGCTACCACCTCCTCCATTAACGTTAATAACACCAGTTATGCTACTACTACCACCACTACCATTTACTTGGCTAACACTCTCATTAACTACACAAATCCGTTTTGGAGAACCAATGTTTGATATTTGATCACAGTTTTCATCACGTCTCCTAGTAAGCATAATTTTTCTTAATACTATTTATTACAAAGTAGTATTTGATAATTTTATTAAAAATTAATACTTTTAATATTTAGTATTATTTTTATTTGACTCTGCGAAGTGAAGCTTTGATATAATAAAGCTTATAAAATAAATATATTAATAATATTACATAGAAGGTTTGTAAACATTTGATACATATATTTGGCAAATCGATGCCAAATTTGTATACTTTTTTACAAAATGGATTCTAGAATAAAAATTCATCGCCCCAAATAGATAGGTCACTTGAATTCTAATAAAGACGAAATTTATTGAATTCTTGCCACACTCCCAATGAATTATTATTATCCACCTAGTTCTTGTGAGAATATATAAAATGAATGCATATTAAATCGAACGATTCAGTATGCATTCCTGTATTTCTTCCTATATATATTTCATTTTTTATAGGGATTTAAGAAAGTGTATTAGTATGATTACGATATCATTTTTGAATATTATTAAAGGCGGGAAGGTGATGTAAATGTTATGATGATATCTTGATCACATCTGAAATAAATGAAATATTGAATAGTTAAAATATATTATTAATTTAATAATAACAAAAGTAATTCGTTTAAAAATATATATGTAACCCACGGTATAAATATTGCTTATTGCATATTGGGAGCTTTTGTACATTCTGACACGCTTTGAGTGCGCATAATAATCGAATTTCTGTTCAGGGTGCGAAATACTATTAGTCCAATAAAAATTATTGGAATCAGATATGTTTAATAAACTATTACTAAATATGGATAAACAGCATTCACTGATAGCATCGTATTATAGATTTTCCTGAAAAAAACAGTTTCAACAATTTCAACCTTTTCCAACTTTCTAGTTAACAAGTTTTGACTTGAGAACAAATTTTCGATTTGATAAACCCTAAACCATTCGCTGGTAAAATTTATTTATTTTATTGCCATCATTTCGCACCCAACCCATAATCGGTGAAATTAAGAACAAATTGTGACAACTAGTGAATAGTTATCGGATATTGAATAGCAAATTTTGATAAAGAACGTCTTTCGTTTCCTACTTGGAATTCAGAGAATGGAACCAAAAAGGAATCGAGAAAAAATTTTTTTACGTGATTTGGTAGATCTGGTATCTTTAAAAAAAATTTTTTTATTATTTTTATTTTTACTAAAAATTATTTATTTATTATTTGACAGCCTTAGGAATTATCTGTGGCAGTGGATAATGTTGTTCATACACTTTATTTATCTAGAGATTTTGAAGATTAACATTCGCAAGACTGAAAAATGTGATGCTTGGTTGGATTATTATTTGCTAAATTATTAGGATATAACCGCTGGATTATCGTCTCGAGCTCGTGTTTCATCAATTCCTATTAATATGGGCAACAAGTTTAACGAGCTGTCCCAATTACATGCCATTAAATAATATTAATTTTCTGCACTTGCCAATTACTTGGTAGCTCACAAAAAATACATATTCTCTTCGAAAACATCTTACCAAAGGGCCAACAAGCTACTAGTTCAACTATCTGGTACTAATTTACAGCGTCTCTAGGTTTATTATCGCAAAATTTTGTTGTACAACAAAGACTTCCACTCTCTGGTGCAATATCAGCTAGTTACAAGATTTTGGTTTACAATAAACATTTTTATAATTAAAAGTTATTGACGGTGATGTTTACAGAAAAGATTCATCTTGCTTTATCAAAAAAGAACAGATTAAGGAATAGCGACGGTTATAATAATTATGCTATAAGGCAATTAGTACTGGTGATGGAAAAGTATCAATTGAGACAAGTAAATCAAAAAAAGGAAATTGGAATTTTGAAACAATCAAACCACGAAAATATGTGTAATTGATGGATACTTTTGATGATATGAGAATATAATATAGTAGTCATTCAACCGTATCTTTTTTAAAAATTTATTTAAAATCATTAAATTATTTTTTATCAATTTCCGAGGCTTCTTCACATATTTTTTTGCAAACAATGTAAGACACATTGTTATTATAAAAAGTTTTTTTTGTTGTTATCATTATATTCAATAATCCTTTGGCTATTTTGATATATCCGTCAAATAACAAAATACATAGTGATATAAAAATTGTCAATATTATGTTTACAAATATGATGAAAATAGATTAAGGTCATATGGTATTAATTATTATATATTGTTCAATTAATACCCACGAATTCTTGTTATAGAGATAGAGAAGTGGAATTACAAGGTAATTAATTGGAGGAATTCAAATTATTTGAAATGGGTAAAATTTGAGTTGCTGTGGATTTTATTAGTAAGTTAAGAATGGGATGTTTAATTCTTACAATCCAGTCACTCACTTCTAACGTATATTTTTTTAGGAGGTTTATTTTCTGTTTGGAGATATATAATGTATAACATAACAATGCTATTTTTATTTTATTTAATAAATTTTAGATATAAAATAATTTTTTTAATTAGTATTTTTTTCTTTATATTTTTCTTTGATATTATAAATTAATAAATTGTTAATATAGTATTTTAAGTAAATTATTTAATAAATAATTAATTAATTATATAATTATAAATATTCAATATATTTCTTCTAACATTAAAAAATTAAAACTTAAAAAATTAAGGTAAATTTCCAATACCAATTGATTAATTGATTGATTTTAAAAATAAGTTTGATAAAAATCCAGTAATTAATTAATATACTTACAAAAAAAAATATATAGAATATTAAATTTTTATAATATATTAATAGTAATTGTAATAAATATATTATGCATTGTAAATTTTTGTGTGCAAGTGTGTGTAAATGTAATAATAATAATAAAATCTAATGTAATAATTATGAAATCAAAATAAAGTAAATTAAATTTTAACTTGATCTGTTAATAAATATCAGAATAATTGTGGTTGCTAAAATTAAAAAAAAGGGAGATAAGAATAATAGTTGTAATAGTAGTTTTGGTATGTTAAAAATTAAAAATCAAAAAATTAAAATTATTTCCTTCTAAAAATTTTCTACAAGACAAATCAACATTGACTTTTAAAACTTTATTTTTTACAACCTCTTCTTTTTTTACCATTTTTCTTCGTGACTATTTTCCATTTTTTATTGAAATTTTTGATGTCGTTTTCCAATTTTGCCAAACCTTCTTCATACAGTTTCATCTCTTTTCTGAGCTCTACTACTTTTCTAAAGTGTGGCATATATTTGACATAATAATAAAATTCTACTACTTCAGAAACTTTCTTTTTCATTTTTTTTGATATTATCGAAAGATCTTTTCCATGTTTAAAATAGTGTAATAGAAATATTTTATATTCAATTGAAGACCATTTCTTAAATACTTCTTCTTTAGATGGATTCATCGGCAAATTTAAATTATTTGATGACGATGGTAATGAAGAAGATGGAGGTAGAGATGGCGAAGATGATAATAATGATAGTATTGAGGATGGTAAAGATGGTGATGATGATGTAGTTGCATATTTATCAATATTACTGGTTGATATTGACGTATTTCTAGTTGTGTCATTCGGTTCCTCCAATTCTGGTAAAATTGCAATACGGTCTTTGTATTTTTCTAATAGTAAATTCATTTGTTGCTTGGTTGTGGGTTCTTCTTCCCTTTGTCTTTTTTTTGAAACTGTTTCTGGACCTGGCGAATCACGTTTTCCTAGTGTACTTTGTTGAGTTTGTTGCAATTCTTGTTGCTCTTTGAACTTTCTACTTGGTTTTGGAATTCTGGTTGATCGTCTAATGTTTCTTTCAGCCGTTGACGAAAGCAGTGCTTGAGGAAAAGAAGTTTGAGAAGTTTGAGAAGAGGAAGTTTGAGAAAAAAGCGGAGAAAAAAAAGGACTTAAGGGTGGACTTGACATCGTACTACTAGCAACAGATAATGCTGGTGTTGATTGCGTGTTTTTGAAGGTAGGTAATGATATTATGTTTGGAATTTGTCCAATCATACTATTGCCACTGTTACTACTGCCACTACTGCTGCTGTTACTACTGCTGCTGCTGTTACTGTTATTACTATTGTTACTATTACTACTACTATTATTGTTGTTGTTATTATGATTGATGTTGCTATCAAAAAACCCTGTTCTGGAACTATGAATGTCAATATTAAGAAGACCACTTTTGATTTCAGTATCTAAAAGATTAGCACCTCCATTAAAGATATCTTTATTGTAAGCAGATGTTGTATTAGAAGTAAGCTCGTCTAATGTCATTGGTTCAAAGTTACAAGGTTGGGAATCGAAATAGATTTTGATAAAGGGTAGATGACACTGTTTTATTTGATGTAGTATAGTTAGTTGGTGTTATAACTGATATTATAAGATGTATGATAGTTAAACTAATAGTGTCCTTGGTGATTCTAGTATCTTTATTTGAAGTAATTAATATTGACAAAATCCCTGTCTATTAATTATATGATTCTTTTCGCGTATCATGGGAAATGGGCACAGCTTGAAAGGACCTCAATATTTTTAAAATATTACCCCAAAATTTCTACCCTAGTTTAACATGTCAATAAACTTTTCTATAGGGGAGCGCCCCAAATCCCCTCCCCATGTCGATATCACAAATTTTAATTTTAAATTACGTGTAACGTCAAAATTTTTTACCCATAATAATAAAAAATGATGTCATTTTTGGACATTCCCCATACCTACAATTTTTACCCCTTTTTTTTTGGCTACCAAAATTGAAGATTTATGATTTATTATTAAACTTTTTCTACATCAAAATGAATAAAAAAAATAAAAAAAATAAATTCTATTTAAATACCATTACAAACTATTAATATTAAATATTATTATTGTTATTATTATTATATTTTTATTGTTGTTGCTGTTTATTTTATCTGATGAATTGTAATTAATAAATTAACAAAAAATAAATCAAAGTCAAAAAGTTAAATCTCACTTCTCAGAATCACTTCTATCATCTTCTGCATTATTCCCATAAATTACTCTTAGTGCAACATTGAAAATTAGACAAAACCAAAATATAATTATTGCTTGTAAAGCTATAAAAAAAAATAAAAACATTGATTTTGTATTTTTATTAAAAAAATATTCTTCATCTGGTGACCATTTAAGTTCTAAATATTGTGTAGATTCAACCCATGTACTGTAAATAACATATCCATAAAAATAGTGACGAGTTATTAACCAAGAAATCATAAAAAAACCAAATATTGTATCACAACTTTTATTATATTTTAAATATTTTAACATTTTTGCAAGCTAAAATATTATTTTCAAAAAAAATATAGATTCAAATTAATACCCAAGTTAAATTTTAAAAAAAATAGTTAATCAATGAATATTAAATCAGAATTTAAATTTACCGGTAATAAAATATCAGCAAAATCCATAATACATAATACAGCATTTCCAATTCTTGTAAAATTGAATATATATGAAGAAAACATCAAAGAAACTGTAATCATATGATGTGCAAGCATTTCTGAAAAATCTTTTCTTCTTTTTTCGATATTTAAAACAAATATTTGTTGAACCCAAAAAGCAAATTGTACCAAATAATACCATTTAAATATATATGACATCTTAACATGTGGATAACCTTTCCAAAAATGCGATGTATCAAACCAATGAGGAGATTGATACATTATGTACTTTAAAATAAATAAATTGATTAATTAATGATCAATCAATCAATCAATCAATCAATCAAATAAATATATGATAAATCAAAATCAAATTGAAAACCTTACCATTCCCAATGTCCAAAATGTAATATAATATAAAAAAGACCATCCTTGTTCTGCAAACCTAATTCTTTTTTTTTTAGTGATTCCGCCTCGTATTGATATTGGTATTAGTATAAATTTCATTACTAAAGCCCTTAATAATGTAAAAAGTAAAACCCAAAATGCTACAAAATATATATCATCAATACCCTTTTCATATAAACAAGTCTTTGGAATTTGATGTTGAAGAATGAAAGTTTTTTCTGCTATTGGTATCTTTAAAGTATAAGCTAAAATAAGAGCGCCTATTATACGTAAAGGAAATTCTAAAATTACACAATAAATAAATGAAATTAAAAAAAATTTAAAATTGTTAATGTTCGTTATGTTTAAGTTTATTATGAATATTACCTATTTGATGTTCAACTAAATATGTTAAAATTCTTCTAATCATATTGTTTTTTTCGATATTTTAAATGTTATTAATATCAGCTTTAAAACCACACATTGTTTTAAATGAATTGGAAAAATAAAGTTTCTTTTCCTTCAATAAGTAAAAACGTTTTGGATGTTTTGGTAAAAAAAAAGATGAATGATTTACATCAGACTCATTTTTGTGTCGCCATATTTGGATAGATATGTAACAAACATCACCACAGACGATCGTCGCCAGGCCTTTTTAACTTTTTTGAATGACAAAAAAAAAAAAGTTTACTAAAGCTTTTTCATCACTACTTTATTATTTGACCAAGCCTTTTTTACTTGCAAGTTTTTTTCATCACAAAATATTTCCAAATACAGTCAAACCAAAATCACTAATCACGTTTCAACGAATTTAATTATAATTCGTTGAAACGAGAGTTGACTGCATTTAATTACAAATATGTTAATGAAAAAAAGCTTTAACAATACATAATTGTATTCATTTGATTATAAAATGAATTCGGTCATATGAATTAATATTAAACTGATAATATGCGATAAAGCGCGACTAGTCCCTCCTAATCGAAAAAATTCAAGAATAAATTATTTAATTATTTCAGATATTCGTCAGATATTCATAATTATTTTGGGCATTCGTAATTATTTCGGATATTCATAATTATTCGTTTATTTCGAATATTCATAATCATTATAATAATATTCATAACCATTTCAAACATTTATTACAATTATAAATAAATTTTAATTCCTTAACTTTCAAGTATGAGTGGTTTAACTGATTTAACACTAAAAGATAAGCCAACTCATGTTTATGAAGAATATGTAAGATATCTAACAGCCAATTCTTTTCGTCTATTTTGCCATTACCACTAAATATGGCTCCTCGATTGGGGCATACTGCAACAAAACCAGACAAAGTGAACATTGGTATTACCAAGAATTTCAGTGATCAAAATTTAGTTATTATCATCACAATTAGTTTTATAATGTCCTATTTGTTAAGTGATATATAGAACTATCCCTATATAAAATGGTTAGTATGAAGTTAATTTATATTAGGAACTAAGGTTGTGGGCGAAACTACTCCTCCAGAAATCAATTCGGCAGGTTACACATTAATTGTTTATTAGAGTTTCGTCAGAGTTTCGCATTTGGGGGTTTTGTCAATCGTCAGAGTTTTGACAAGGTATATACTAATTGTTCATTAGAGAGTTTCGTCAGAGTTTTGACAGTCACTAAGAGGTTTTAGCAAGCAACCTTACATGGAACCCAAGAATTATAGTACTATTCTTTGAAATATTGTTTTTATATTCATCAGCAGCTTTGGTAAAACCTTCATCTTCTAAGTTGGAGATAGTAGTTTTAACAGTAATATTGTAGCTGTTTTTTTAATTATCTTTGGATTATCATCCAGAGGGAAATTTCCTCAATCCTATTTAAATTACTTTCTTATTTTCAATCAAGGTCATTTTTTAACTTCAATTTGAGCAACTAATTGACCATTTTGTTGTTGTAATTGTGTTAATTGAACTTTTAACTCATTGATTTCTTTTATTAATTCTTGATTAGTTAAGCCTTTAAGTTTTTCATTTCTCTCAATTTCTAGTGCTTCTTCAGTCTCATTTAATTGTTCTTGTAGGGAGTTTATCTGTCTTTTGTAAAAAGCGGACTGACTTATTTCTTCATTAGGCAAGAGTGGAAGTTCTTTCTCTTCCAAGTCTTCATTGTTTCTAATGCAATAACAAGTATTTTTACCACTGACAACATCAAAATCTGGTTTGGTTTGTAATCTACCACACCTATTACACTTTAATAGTCCTCCATCCCAATACTTTTCTTCACACTGTTCACAAACATGTCATCTGAAATTCATTCCCCAGTTATTTTTACTACAGGCTCTTATTTGACGAACAGATTTATTATTTTTATTTTCAAATTTAGAGCAGGAATCACAAGTTTTTTTTAATTTCTTTTTCCAATTATAAAACTGTGTATTCCATTGCAATTTACTTGTTATTTAGACTTAAATTCTATTTGAGCAATCATTTTTTGGTTGTGAGACTTTTCCTTTTTGATTAGCTTTTGTAATTTTTGAATCTTGGTTTTTGCTTTTGTTTTTAATTGCTTAAATATGCTCTGTTTAGTTGAAGATGGCTTGCTCTCTTCTTCTTCTATAGGTAAGGCAGGTAAAGACTTATTATCCAAGTAGATCAGATTCTTTAAATTTTCATTTTGTGTTTCACTATCAGTTAATTGCTTGCTTAGTTTTTCTATTTTTTTGCTCTTTTGACTCAATTCTTCCTCTAATTTTTCAACTTGGGCTTCTAGATAAGAAATCTTTTCACTAGCAGTTTTGAGTTTCTTGATTTTTTCTTTTATATCTTCTGCTTGATTTTTACTTCACTTTTCATCAACTATTAAGATGTTCTTAATTCTGTTTGTACCTCATATTCTAATACCCCCACCTTTGCTTCCAACTCCTTGATTCATTCAATCTTGCTTTCAATAATATCCTTGATAATGATATCTTTAGCAGGTCTATCTCCAAAGTTTTTGCCACTTCTTATTTTACCAATGACAGCATTCTTTTCACTTTGATGCTCCCAGTGCTTTTCATTTTCAGATTCATAGTAATTGTTAACAATTTCTTCAATGACTTTCTCTTGGTTTTCATTATGTTCTATAATATATTTCCTATACAAACTATCTTGAAAATAAATATTCATAAACTGTTGCCTTAATGGTCTGCTAAACAATTTCCTTAAATCTTGTTCAATATTCTTACTACAGCGAGGAAACCTTCCTCTCATATCCACCAATATTTGGTGAATCCTTTCTGTTGCTTCTTGCTTAAATCAACTTCCTCTTCTAGATTTTTTAATTCTAATTTCTTGTTCTTTATTGGATAATTGCTTTTTCAATGTTTCAATTTCATTGATTAGTTCTTTATTTGGTTGTTGATGTTCTTTTAAGATGTTTGTCGTGATTTTCTTGTTTGTTCCTTTTTTTGTTTATTCTTTTAATATACTTATATCCTTAGTGTATGTTAAGTATATAATTATTTTAGTACTTTTTACTTTAAATGTGGAAAAAGCTAACAATATTTATTAACACTAAAATAGATAAGCTCTAATTTCTTCAAAAATATCTGCTTTCTTGGTTTTCAATAAATTGAATTCAGCAAAAAGACTATTAGCAATTTCCTGAACTTTCACTGCACCAAGATTAGTTGCTTTGAAAGAAAATGTTAATATTTCTGTATACTTGATAATTTCTTAAAATAAATTCCCAAATTTGATTTGATGTCCAAATTAGTGTTCCATGTCGCAATCCAAAAAAGGAAACAAAATGGTTGTAAAGGTGGTTGCAACCAGTGGTTGCAATCATTT